GCACCAGCACGAGAACAATTGGAAAGCATGCAGATCCGTTGAATTATTGTTGAACAATTGCAAATAGCAGTTAACTTAATTCACGTGATGTGTGCACTGCTAGGCATCTTTGGTTTCCTCTTTTTGTGTAATTTAGATGGAAAATGTGTGCCTTTTTATCGCTTGAATCACTTATAAAAAGTTGCCAAATAATAATTAAAAAAAAGCTACATTTGTTGCTAGGTGCTTTTGGAAGAAAAAGTTGCTAGGGTAATCTGAAAAGTTGCTAAATCTAGTAACAAAATTGCTAAATTGGCAAGACTGAAAGTAAACAGTCTCTCAGAGAGCGGCTTGGAAGAGAGGGGCGTGGTCAGCAGAGCTCATTAACATTTAAAGGAAAATGCTACAAAACGGCTTGATCTAAAAAGAGTTGTTTTTGACCGGGTAAAAAAGTATTTTTTACACTAGTATTGAGAAATTTTAACCAAACTATGTTACAGACTTTTCATTAAGACCCTAAAGAATCATATCAACTTGTGGAAAATGGGCATCCTATGACCCCTTTAAATAGAATGAATTGTGAATATGATTTCATTACAGTATGCGATGTTATAAAAGTCTGTGTTTTGAGTTGATGTTTAATCCCTTTAATTTGAATGATTTTCAATCCCTTTAATCTGTCATTTACTAGTCATATTGATTGTAGGGCATTTATGTTAACATTAAACACTGGTGGTATTTTCTGCACTGTTTCCTAACAAATAAATATTTTTGAGCTGCTGTATACATGACTAATGATCGTTGGTTTGTTTTAAAGTAAAAAAGTTGAAAATGTTGCTTTTGAATGCATTCACTGTTAGTAGAACCACTGCTAATAACTGGTTAGTTCAGGCCAAATTATGGCCTTATACAGACACAGACACAGTCTTCCAGCACTCCATTAATGCTAATGAGAGGAGACTGCTTTGACCCTGAAGTACTTTGACAGCTCACCATCATTTATTAAATGTAACAATAACAAGTGCAATTTTTTAGCAAGGCATTTGTTTAACCCTTGGCTGAACTGTTGCTCTTTTGTAACTATGTGCTGGCATCATGCAGGGTTTCTGTCTCTTTTGGGTCATTCTGTACTCTAGATGCCGCTTTAGCAACTGGGTTTGTGTGTGCTGCTGCATTAGTGCCCTCAAGTCTGATTAGAAAAAAACAGGACAGGGGGAAGTATCAATAAATATAGTTATCTGGCAAGAGGTAATATAATAGGGCTAAAATATTAAAATATATAATATATGTATGTGTGTAGCTATTCTAAATGCATCTTTATTGTTCACATCTAGGAAATTTTGTGCTTCCATTGAAATATAACAATGAATCTATCTCTGTCAGCGGTTGATCAGAACCATGGACAGCACCTGTCTGCAAACCTGTGTGACATTACAAATATGCTAAAATATGTTAGAGCCACCAAAGGTGACTTGAGCAAATTTAGTTGATTATACTGAGATACTTTTTATTCTCCCCTCAAACAGGCTATTTCACTTTGTTTTAACTGACGTCAAAGATATGCTTGAATTAAGTTAATTAAGTGCACATTATTTGTATTTGTTAGAAATGTTATATTTATGTCTCAGTATTGAAGGCAATATCATATGCATATTACATAATATTTAAAATTGAGTTGAAGATTTGTGTGCTAAAATGTCCAATATTTGTGTCAGATATTAATGATTCTGGAGTCTGAGTAACCAGAATATATATATATATATATATATATATATATATTCTACAAATTTTTGAAAGAGTTTTTAATCTTCTATTTAGCTGACGTGTGGCCAATATGGTGTCCCATACTCGGAATTTGTGCTCTGCATTTAACCCATCCAAGTGCACACACACAGTGAGTAGTGAACACACACCCAGAACAGTGGGCGGCACCCAGGGAGCAACTGGGAGTTCGGTGCCTTGCTCAAGGGTCTCACCTCAGTCGTGGAAGAGAGCGCTGTTCATTCTCTCCCCCCACCTAAAATCCCTGCTGGTACTGAGACTCAAACCCATGACCTTCGGGTTACAAGTTGACTCTCGAACCATTAGGCCATGATGAGTTAATGTTTTAGTAATTTTGTTTAGTTGTGTGTTTTTTCAGTTTTATTTTTTAATTCATATTTATTTCAGTTTTAGTTATTTTAGTAAAGTTTCATTTTAATTTAATAAGTAAAACTTAATGAACAGTGTTGCTTTGGTTACTTGCTAAAACAAAACAAGATGTTATATTTTATTTTATTTCAGTAAACATTTATTTTATTTCAAGTAACACAATATAAATGGTTTTCATTTTAGTTATCCCTGTTGTGATGAGAAGCTTATAACCTTTTTATAAATAGGCTATCTGAAGTGTGTTGTTGACAAAAAGTTTTTTTTAAAACAACCCTCCTCCTGGGTCCCGTTTCAATAAGGAGGTTCAACCAACTCTGAGTTGAAACTCAAACTCTGAGTTGACTTACCCTGAGATGGGAAACTCTGAGTTTTCGGTTTCAGAACAGCTAAATTGTGTTAGTTCAGTCGACTCTGAGTAGGTTGACTCTGAGTTTAGTGCGTGCACCATGACTATGAGAAGTCAAGATCAATGGAGCTCCGAAATTATGATTCACCATGGCAACATCACCGACAAAAAGACGTCCGCATACTTCGGAGTCAATAATTAAGTTAAATTCTTAATCACTGTTATAATATCAGAGGTAAAAACTGTAACTAAATTTTATTTTCATGGTATCCCACGGCAAAAAAAAAAAAAAAGAACGTAGCAGCCTCTAAAAATTAATTATAAAAACACGATTCAATCAAGGTAAAGATTTAAAGGGGTCATATGATGCGATTTCAATTTTTCCTTTCTCTTTGGAGTGTTACAAGCTCTTGGTGCATAAAGAAGATCTGTAAAGTTGCAAAGACTAAAGTCTCAAATCAAAAGAGATATTATTTTTAAAAGTTAAGAGTCAGCTACGCCTACCTAAAACGTCTCGTTCTAACACGCCCCCACAT